CAAAACCTTGCCATGCAGACCCGTTACAAGTAGCATCTCCAGGCTCGCCCCCATGGTGTACAGCAAATCCACCAGAAGATAAAATAACCAAGCACACGCCTCAGGACGCAGCCTGTGCTCTCAGAACAGCAATGGACCAGGCAGCAATGGGCAGGGAAACACAGCATAGGATGACGACCTACTCACAGTCCCTAGCTCAGCAGCTGTACTGAGACGACAGACACAAAGATGCTGCTCAGGGAACTGAGATCCAGAGGTTATATAGTTTATCCATGGTCAATCAATAGCAGAGGTGGAAACTACAAAGACTTAACCATCCATCTAGTCTTCATCATTCTCTTAACTATGTGCTTTTTCGTGCTACCTTGGCGTTGTCAGAACCATCTCCATCTCCCCTAATGTCTTCTGCTTAGGTCGTGACCAAAGACATGGTTACCTTGGAGATAGATGCTATCTGCTACTACCGTTTGGAGAACGCTTCTCTTCTCCTCACCACCCTGACCAGCATCTCCAGTGCCATCCAGCTGCTGGTGCAGACCACCACAAAGCGCCTCCTGGCACATCGAGCCTTCTCTGAACTTCTCTTGGAAAGGAAAAGCATTAGCCAGGAGATAAAGGTGCTTCCATAGGGGGGGAGACAGCAGAGCAAGGGGTGAACTGAGGCTCCACAAAGCAGCTCAGGTGATCAGTCCCTCAAAGTCACAGACACTGGTTTGCAGAAGGGTACAGTAACAACATGTATCTCCTTCACAGAAAAATGGGAAATTTTTCTTCTGTTTGTTTTTTTGACTCAGATCACTTTAGAGAAAGGATATACAGTGTGGGCCCCACAGGTGGCCATGGTGTGTAGCAGACAGCATGGTGTGAAGGGCGTGAAGGAATCACTTAGACCAGCTTCATCAGAGCTTTGACACCCCAGCTTCGGTATTTACCCCAGAGGGGAGATTCTCACAAGAAATGTATCCTGCAGCTTGAGTGAGTTGCCATAAACCCAGTATACATGGGATCTCCAGCAGCAGTTCTCTGTGACCACGACACATGCAGATAATGATATCAGTCAGGAACTGAACGGTTCCTATGGAACTGAACTGGTTCCACACTTCAACAAGTATGGACTGGTTAAATCAGGCTAAATCCCTGGGGCTAACACAAATTGGAAGTAAAGTGAGGGAAGTAATTTTATTTCTGAGGGGCCTCAATCAATAGCACACAAAAACTAATAAATCTGCCTTACAGTCCTGCAGTTAACTGCCTTGAATTAATGTCCTTGCACTGTCTTACTCCCTGTAAGGGGCCTAGGCCAGGGCTGGCATTCTCCCCATGCTCTAAAAATATTTCTCTTCACAGGTGGCTTTGGATGCAGTCACAGGCTGCTGGGGGATCAAAGTGGAGAGAACAGAAATGTAGGTAGGAAATGCTGGAAGTTGAAGGTACCTGTCCTGCCCTCCTCAATGCTGCCTGCTCCTCTTCCTGCTTTGCCTCTGGCTCTCTCCCTGCAGCTATTCTGCAGAAGGTAGAGCCTCACCTCCCGCTTTCCTATTTTCCCTGCCCCTTTCAGCCTCTGCCTCATGTAAAACTTCCACATGCAAAGACTGTTCTTGCTCCTACACTGACAGCTAGGGCAGGATCCTTAGGTAGGATCTCATCACCATTTCACTGCTGCTGCAGGCAGAGTTTTCACCCAATTCTGGTAGCCCAGGAGGTGCAGCAGGCACCAAACCCTCTGTGTCCCATCCTACATCAAAGGCCCCAGGGTCTTAGCACTGGCAGGGATGGGCTTATCACTCAGAAGCACATGCAGAAAGGTGGAACTCGCTCATCATGTAGAGGGCCTTGGAAGAGAGCGCCAAGTGGTGAATGAATAAATTTATGAATGGAAGGAAATTCTTGTGCATGCCTTGAGAGCTGTCTCCCAGTGGATGCTCTGCTGTCTTGCAAAGAGTGAGCTTAGACCTAAGCCTCAGAGGCACAGAGAGGTCTGTCTCCTGGGTAGTGATCATGCAAGACTGGTCATTAGAAAACCAGGCTGAAAAAGGATGGGAATGGAGGTAGAAGGCTAAAGGGAGACATGAAAAGGACACCCAGGGAGCAAGGAACTACTCTGCAGAGACTGACTGATGAGCCCATTCCAAGCCTCAGATTGACCATCCAGTGCTGTCAGGAGAGCCCAGAGTCCAGCTAATCCCTGTCCTTTATTACCACAGCAACAACGTGCAGCTGCCTGCTGAAATCCGCCAGTCCTTGGCTGTGGAAGCGGAGGCCCAGAGACAGGCCAAAGTGCGGGTATGCCAACTCTGAATACTTATCTCCTTCCAAGGCACCCCTCCTTCCTTCCCCACCCCTGGTTCGAGGTCCCTGAGACATGCCACACAAGGATACAGCTCTGGGAAGACATGTTTCCTTTAATTCCTGTTCAAGAGCTGTGTCTAGCAAGGGGAGCTGCAGCAGGCCAGCCCAGTGGAGTGCCAGATCTGGTACCTGGTCTACAAGTAGGACAGAAACACACACAAAGGGGTCTGGTGTTATCCCCAGGCACACAGTTATCCCCATGGGGATCTCTTTCTCAGGGTTTCACTCTCCTCTAGGAGCCCAGTGCTGGGCTCTCACCACTGTCATGTATCCTGCACCTTGCTCAACCCAGGCTGGTCTCCATCCCTTGCACTGAGCTGCTCAAGAGCCTGGATAAGGTTGGCGTGCAGCACCCCTCCCACAGCCTAGCCTGGGGGGCTGCCCTCTCCCATGTTTTTGCAGCAAGGGTATGTCCAATTGTGAGCCCCAATGGGCCTAGTAAAACCAAGTTAGAATTTCGGGAGCATCAAAAGGTCTAATACGTGCTGTGGTCTTCAGAGAATGTTATAATCACACTGGACCTGGGAATTTCATGGTGGCAGCCTCCCTCTGTAACGAACAGTCCATGACACTTTAACTCCCAGCCTCACAGAAACCTTCTTTATTCCCCTGCTTGGTAGGTGATTGCTGCTGAGGGGGAAAAGGCTGCTTCTGAGTCCCTGCGGATGGCAGCTGAGATCCTGTCCAGTGCCCCTGCTGCTGCTCAGCTCCGTTACCTCCATGCCCTGCACTCCCTTACCGCAGAGAAGCCTGCTGCTTTCATCCTGCCCTTGCCTTTGGATGCCACGAACCTGGTCCCTCTGGCTACCCACAGCCCTCCAGCAGCAAGCAGCCTCCTCACAGACACCACGAAACTCCCAGAAAGCCCGGAAGACAAGAAAGACTCACCCATGCTCTAAGAGCTGTCCCTGAACTAGTTGCCACACTGACCCTGGTCAGTCCTGCTCCGAGAGGAGCAAGAAGGCTGGCCTATTGGCAGCCCACCAGCAGGTCCTGGCCTGGAAGCAGGAGGGAAGGCAGCCCAGGCCTGTAATATAAAGTGGGTTGTACACGGAAGAAGCCTCTGCTTGTTTTGGAAAGGGGAAAATACAGAGCACGGGGAGCAGGGCGTTGAGGGAAGAGAGGTGCTGTCCTTTCTGCTTCACAGGGCCAGATGCACCTTGACACCCTAGGGCCTGGCCCCTGGGGTCTGACCCATCTTGCCCCATCACCTTGGCAGCAAGGACAGACTGGCCCCTGTGCACTTAAATGCCCCATCCCCAAACTGAACAGCCGAGCAGGCAGGGGTGGGAGCCTGACAATAGGTGGGGGAACAGGATGGGGCTCAGTACACAGGCAGGTTGGTGGGTGCTGCCAGCCTGGTGGTTCTGCAAGGAAGGAACGAGCTGGGTCCCACGGCGTAGTCCTGGATGTGGGGTTTCATTCACCACCCATGCGCACGTACATACACACACAGGCATCCAAGGGGTTTAGCGCTAGTTCTAAAACAGGAGGAGGAGGACAGGGCAGCCTTTAAGGCTTGGCACTTCCCTGGAAGGCACATCAGCTGCGCAGGGGAAAGGCAGGCTGTGCTGCCGCTCGCTTCCACTGGGGGGGGAGGCAGGACAAGGTCTGAGCTTGTGGCCATCTAAAAATTTTAAAGACGATCGGTGTAACCAACTCCCACTGAGCTGACAAGGGGGAACCCAGCACCGCTGGGGAAAAGCCAGCTGAAAGCATCGAGCACAGTAATATTTTTGCCTGCTACAGCTGCCCTGGTAATGTCCAAACAGAGTCCTCAAAACTCCTATAATCCTCAAAACTCATATATATCTTTCCTGCCAAAAGTTATTTGAAATGACCGGGACCCTCCAGATACTGCAATCCTTTCCCTTGGCAAAGATAGGGAGCACTGTCAAAGTAAATACCACTGTGCTCAGTTTCTCTGAACCTGGTGCCCTCTGGGTAGACGTCAGCTCTGCTTCTGCCCTTTTACTTGACCTGCAGCATCTCCCCTTGCTTCAAAGCAGACCTCCCCTGCACAGCCATTCCTAGGCCCAACATTCTGCTGCTGGTGGCCTGTAGAGGCCAAGACAGAGGGCACTTTGTGGCCCTTCTCTTAACTGCCCACACAGTAGCTGGCCATCCTGCACATGCCTAGCAGGGGTAACCTAGCCAGTCGCTCACTCTTGTATTTTCACTCATCTTTTTCCACCCCTCTTTGCCTGCTGGTAACACTCACACACATTGGCACACATAATCAGTAGTACTTCTGTTAAATGCAGCTGTGTCACAAGGACAGCCTGTATGTCCTGGCTTAATACTGCTGTAAAGGACAAGGATCCCACCTCTACTAAGTACCACAAATTCTGTATTTAACCATCCCCTTCAGATGCCCAGAGTCCCCTTCTCAGCACTCAGTGCTCCCATAATATTTGCTCTACAAGTATTTGCCAGACTTTTTATGGCAAGGACACCCAGAGAATCAGCCCCCTTACAAGTGGCTAGGAAGTGGGAAAAATCCACCTGTGAACTTCTTGGTGGCCGCACGATCATCTGAGCTCCAGGTGTAACCTCACATCCAAATCATTCTGCCATGGCAACCCTCTCAGGTCAAGGCAGCAGGATGGCTGTGGCTCCTGCTTGTGTGGCTGTAACAGATCTCAGTAGTGATCCGCTCATGGTAAACTAGCTCTAGGAAGAGAAACAGCTCTGTAATCTTCCGGTGCCGAACATGAGCTGCGTAGTTACTTCTCTAAGGCCAGTTCTGGTTATTCCTCATGCTGCTGGAATAAGTCCCTGTTTCTCAACCTAGATCAAAACAGTGTAATACTACACAGACTGAGCTGCAGATGATCCTTTCTCTGAACACTTCTCTGGCTGCATTTCTAACTCTGTGTAAAATGATCCATCCAGACCAAGATTTCTTGGCACATCAAGGACCAATACCTCTACAGATAATGTCTCAAAGAAACAACACTTAGCCTCAGAAATGACTGTCAAAAGACATGCAGTACTATATCAGGGCACACAAATTACCCTATTTGCACTCATATCTGCAAGAGTCAGGCATAGCTTTTTCAAACATGCAACTTTCCTGCAGTTACAGAAAAAGCAGATTATAGCTAATAGCATCCTCAGTTCCAAAGAGCACACCTTGTTCCTGCAGGATCTTCTCTCTTTTACATATACAGAGCTGGCAGAAACTTGTCATTTTACCTTCAGGAGATATTACATTCAAAAACCTGACAGAAGGAAAACATAATTTAAAAATGTACTTCAGGATTAGCGATATATGACGTTGCCAAAACAGGATTTACCCCAGGGGAGTTGGCAGGGGTTGTCTGAGCCAATGTGATTCCTGACAGTTTCACTGCCTGTTCTTCCAAGCTGAGACTGCGTCAAACTGCAGAGTCATGCCGAACCCAGGCGGCTCTGCTGGCTTTGCAGAGCTTTATAACTGCACTGATTGCCCCAGGCTGGGGACACGACAGAGGCAGAAGTCCCGGGTGGCCATCTCGCTGGGCAGTTGGCCTGTTGAGACGGTAGGGGTATTGTGGATGGGGAGACAGGGGGCTCAGATGCCAAACACAGAATCCACAGGGAGTTGGAGCATTTAAGTGCCATCCCAGTTCACTGAGAGGGTGAACTGGCATCATTTGAAGTCTGCTTTTGTGACCTTGGTTACAGGGAGTTCTCCAGTGGCAGCAATTTGAGAAAGGCCTTTAGGATCATTCTCAGCTTCAGACTGCTTCATGCTTTCTGAAAGTAGGACAAAACCTTCAAAAGAAGAAGATTCAAAGATAAACAAGATTTTTTCCATACCATTCTGTACAATTTCTTCCTAACTAGTCAGCTGGTAACTGGATCATCTGAAGCCCAGAGGATGAAGAAGGTACCCATTACCAGAAATACAACCAGGCCATGCTGGCACTGAGAAAAAAAACCCTTGATACAAGAGGAAAGAGGTGCAAACAACTTACTTGCATGATCCAACAGGGACGAGGCAGAATGAGACAGATCAGCAAGAAGAGATTGATAAACACGAACAGGAGGCAAGCACAAGGCGAGGGGAGAAGAGCACACAGGCAGAAGGGATGTGGGAAGGAAAAAGTTGAGGTTGCAATGGTATTACAAGGAAGACAAGATGTAAAGATGTTAGAGCTGTGGGACGAGGTAGAGGACAAGCAAGACAGATGTGGAAGTTATAGAGCCAGCTAGAAGAACAGCATAAATGCTGAGATGGAACAGAGAAGATGGGATAGTGGATGAGGAGTAAGACAGTGGATTGGGGGTGAGATGCTACTATGAATGGGCACTAAGAAACTACTCAGACATTGCTGTTCTTGAATATTTGCTTTTTCTGGATCCCTTGGACTGGCCAGAGGTAGAAGCTTTGGGAGTTGAGCAGGCCCTAACTTCTGAGTCGCTTTTTTGGAAATATTTTTCTGAAAGAAAAACAAAACAACAAACCAAAGCCATTTAAAATACTGCAGAGTAAATAAATGCCCAAGGTATCACATTCTTAAAGAAGTTAGCCTCTTCTCCCACTCTGATATCAAAGAGACAGGATACACTGAAGGACTAAGGGAAGAAGTTTTAATTCCTGTTCTTCCTGCTTCTCCACATCTTGTACCTGTGCAGATCCAGTTGAGAAAGGACACAAGGAAATGCTTTCATCGACAACAAACATGCAACTTAAGGAGCTCACTGCCACGCTGTATGGGCAGGATCAGTAGGTCAGCAGTGTTCACATAACTCCTGGAGACAGCAAGTATCCTCTGCTATAAACACGAAATGTCTTGGCCTCTGAGAGCGAAGGGACCCGGCACATTTTTTCTTCTCTATCCCAAAATCAGTGATCCTAAACAGATCTTCTTGACTGTAACAGAGAACACTCACAAGGAAGATGAAGTCCATTACAGTGGTCTCCTAGATATAGACTGTGTCCTATGTCAAAACCAAACAAAATTACTTTATCTCAAAACCAGACCACGTTCAGCAGTTCTTTCTGCCCTGATCCAGAATCATGTTAAAAACCTCCTTGCTTGGCCTCTGACACAGTCTAGACAAAACCCTGGGACGTGCCCAGGAGGAGAGGGACCTTCACTAAACAGGAGATGAACAAGGAGTCCTCAAAGATTGCTTCCCTCTCTGAGTCTGGGAGAGGGTTGAGAATATTGATTCTTCTGACCTTGCCTGCCTTTGTTTGTTGCCTCTGGGATGACTTTTCCCTCTTTCTCCAGCTCACTCGCTAGCTGTTTGATTCTCTGCAGAGCTTCTTCCAGTTTTTATTCAAAATCTTCAGATCTCTCCTCTGCATTCTGAGGACAGACCTCTTTCTCTGGAACACAGAAGCAAAGATAATGCTGAAATCTGAAATCTAAGCAGCTGCTGGCAGGATACCTAAAAGAAAGATTCAGAAAGCTGAAGCGTTCAGTAGGATTGATTGACTCTATAAAACACATTTATGGTTTCAGAGAAGGGCATTGTTAAAAGATCTCTAAGGGACTTCATGGCACATCTATGTAAACCCTGCAAATTGAATTAATTTTAGAACTCAGTGGTTGCTAGCAAAGGATGAGATGCTGATCTTCATTGTGCAAGGATAAATACAGAGCACAGTCAATTCTATTAGCAAGGCTCATGAGGTGGGGTTACTCTGGATTATGCAAGCCCACAGACAAAACAAGAAGTATAAGGGAATGTAATTCAGGCTGCCCAAGCCTGCTTAGGCATGGAAGGAGTCATTACCAAACACAAACCTTAACGTGATTCCGTGTGGAGCCACTTGTGTCCCCCTTCATTGTTTTCCCCACACTTAGGCACAACACCGCATGGCTGTACCTACCAAGCTGCTGGGCACTAGCAGGCCCTGGAAGCGCTCAGCTGCGTTCACATAGCACTCTGCAAGTGCTAA